CACACACACACACACACACACACACACACACACAAAGGAGAGAAGAGGACAATAGATGTTTGATAGGAAAGAAGGAGTAAGCCACACCAGAGCACCTGCCAATCACCAGAGAGAATGGGAAGAAAGAATTCCACTATACTTACCTCAGATATTGGGTGGACGGTGAGTGCAGGTCAACATGGAATGCTTAACAATATCGCAGTAACAGCTTTTAGTCAGGGCTTACGTGTTCTACAACCAGACATATTGAGTCTAGCTAAAAACTGACTGGAACACTATATCAACCAAGCATGATACTGTCTGCATACTGTTACGATGCTGTGAATAGATTTCTGTGTTTTGGGGGATTTTTTTGCAACCACACACACACAAACACACACACACACAAACAGACACACAAACATGTAGGTACAAACATACAGACACACACACACACACACACACACACACACACACACACATACACTCACATACACAAACTCACACCCATACACACTCATACACACATACACACACATACACACATGCACATACACACTTATACACAAACACACGCACACACACACACACACATACGCATACACACACAGACAAACACACACATTCCGGGACATACACACACACAAACACTCACACACACAAACACACACACATACACACACACATGTGTGTTTTGTTGTTGAAGCAGCAGCTGCCACCACAATAACCTTCAACCCCACGAGCGTCCTGTTTCCTTTCGCCCTCGGCTTCTTTTACTTTGTAAACAGGCTCCGAGGAAAAAGCAACCTTGTTAGCTCTAGTTAGCAGACCCAGATCCACCCTGCTAAAGTCAGATTTCAAATTTGCATTTCATTTGCAATTTGAAGATGTTTTTCTTTCTCTTTCCCTTTTTCATTTTCCTTTCTCCCTTTTTATTCCTTGCCCTGGAGAGGGAGAAGGGCAGAGCACGGTGCATGCTCAGAACTCTTAACACGATTCTTGACAGTCCCTGATGTCTAGAAAAAAATCTTGTAAGAATCTTCGAGAGTACAGTGTTTTCTTCACAATTTCATAACCCTTGTCTTAATACTCTTATGTGGCTCAGTTTCTGTTTATGTGGTTTAGCGTCTTTGCAATGGATTTTGAGGGGGGAAAAAGTTCATGTTATACATTATGTAGTTCTGACTGTGTTTTGATATAAAAGTAAATCTGGTTGATGCTTAGAAACAATGAGACAAGCATTTTCATTCTCTGTCTCTCTCTCTCTCTCTCTGTCTCTCTCTCTCTCTCTCTCTCT